CACCATACAGGCGGTGTCATCTTAGGTACTCTTACGACAAAGTCTTGTAAACTTTAAAACAAGAAAATTAAATACAAGATATGTTCGATCCATTCAATTCAATCTTTGACATTTACAACTGCCAACCAACTATAAAATGAATATTACTCAGCAAAAGACCATGAAAAATGGAAAAGAAAAATAAGAAAAACAAGAAGCATAAAGTATTTGGTCAATGAATGCTTACCTTGAATAAGGTGTACGAGATTTCTTCAATTCAAAGATGTTCAATAAAAATTTATGAAGTAAACGAACTAGTCCGTGTTATGGTATTGTGAAATGCTGAGACTTTGGAGGGTATATATATGTGTGCATTTCTTGAAAAAAATTCTCACATAACCGTGTGGGTAGGAAAGAAGAAGGAAAGTGGGAGTTTTCTTCTTGCTCTCTTGACCTTTTTCAGAAAAAAACTGCATCGTTAGTCACTAATATATTATCCAAGTAACAAATTGATCCCCGACGTATAAAAAGGAAGCAAGTATATTCTTAAAATTAAGACTGAACAAAACTCCTGAAATGAACCCAACCGAACTCGAACCAAACTTAAAATAATCAAGTAATTCTTATTAAAAGTTAGATACACGAATAAGTATCTAAATCAAGAATCGACGGGTTTGATTTGATCTTTAGTTCTAAATCAAGAACCGAATAAAAATCGAATCTCCCTAATTTTTTTAATTAATTTTTTTAAATAAGTGAAATTATTTTTCCTAAATAAATTTGTTAACTACTTAATTTAGCTCAAACTCAAAAACATGATTTTTTTTATTTCTAATTTTTAATCTAAGCCAATTTAATCAAATTGACCTAAATTTTACTCAAATCTACTATTCTACGGTAGTGTCATTTCTATCATTCTGGAGAAATCGAATTGAAACTCGACAATGTCTCTCTTAATTATTGTGATCTTGCTATTTTCTTCTTTCTATAATTTTAACAATAAAATTTATGAAGAATTTAGCAATATGCAAAAGACACATGAGATTGACTACATTATTTTGTAAGAATTAAGATTAAATATGTCATTGTTAAATTAATGTAACTTTGTAAGTATTAAAAAAATTTAATTATAGTATAGAACTCAAGAATTGAAATGGAATCGAATCGAATGGAACCTAACTTGAACGGTTCCATAATTAAATTTGGACCTGACGATTTCACTTACTAAAATAGCCAGAAATTTTGAGTCCAATTCGAATCTCGTTAGAATCGAATTAAACCGAACCATGCCTAGCCCCTACTTACAATTCAATGGTAATTTTATAATAGTCATAATCTAATGTTGTTATTTTGTTTATAAAATATTTATTATCGGTCAAAACACTTTTTATTCATATATTTTTTGGGATAAAAAATGCTAACAATTTTTCCATTGCTCTTATCTATTTATTTATAATTTGAAATATTTATAAAAATTTCCAAACATGGTTAATGGTAACAGTGACTCACTATCACAATGAGTGGTAAGCATACGTACTATTTATAATCAGAATTATACCAAGGCCATGTTTGATTGGCCCTTTTTTCATGAATAATGGAATTCAAATTTCATTTTTCACCAATTTTGTGTGTTCGATAATAAAAGTTTTTCATGGAATCCATTTTCCATCTTTTCCCCACACGTGCATTTTCCATGATTTGGTAGAAAATAAATTCTGTCCAAAACGGTGAAATTGATTTTCCAGCTTTTTTCAGTAATGGAAACAAATTTTATTAATAATTGTAAAAAAAAAAAATGTATCCTTCAAATTGACAATTTTCATAAAAAACAAAACAAAACGAACACCAAAATATAAAATGATTTTTGGATCTTTTTTAAATTTTTTGCAATAGAAACAAATTTTAGGAACAACTGTAGAAGTGGATATTCCTTAAATTGACAATTTTCATGAATAACAAAGTCAAACGAACACTAAAAGACACTTTTATATTAATATTTTTCAGGTGAGAAATTATATAGATCAAACACTATTAATTATCAATTCCCACTAAAATAAATTCTAGACAATTCAATTTCTTCATTTCATTTTTTTCACCCAAATTCCTTCTTTGCAATCGAACATGCCCTAAAATTAATTATTAAACTATCTTTTGACTCTTGAAAATATTTTTTACTTCAAATTTTTAAACTCCCACCCAAGTTAAAAAGCGAGACCCAACATTATAAATTATAAAAGTGAAAGTTACATGGAGATTTACTAGAAATTTGGACATCGTCATTTTTAAGGATTGATTGTATTACTAATGGGAAAAATTGAGAATCATTTTGTCCTTTAGTTTAGAGACTAACTCGCTAATGGGGTAGTAAATTGGGACTCAAAATGAAAATTTACAATATTCCTTGAAGGCTTCAACTTTTTGTTACTTCAGTCAAAGTCAAACCTTCAAAGCAGGTCCACCCTGTCGTACTGGTTCTAGCTTATGCCATAGAAAATGCAAATGCAGATGAAATATAAATTTAAATGTAAACTCAAATGAAGCACTGGGGAACCGCAGTGGGTCCCACTTAACTTTTTCAAATTCTCTAGTAACAAAACCGGACAACCGGTTTTCCTGTCACGCGGAGGTTCACTGTTGGAATTTGAATTCCGTCTGTCACCAGTCGGCGCGTGCACAACAGTTTATTTGTTATTATTTATAGCATCACAGCTTATTTGAACTTAATTTGACAAACATGTATAGATTTTTAATTATTTGCTATTTGTAGCATCACAGTTTATTTGAACTGATCATCATACCTTTTTCATAGTAGAGATGACAAAAAAATCTGTTCAACTCGATACTCATGTGACTTGCCTCGACTGTGTCGAGAATTACCATCTAACCAGATAAGCAGGAGAAAATAGGGCAGGCACGAGATTGGAGACATTCTCCTGAATCGGGTATGGAGTGAGTATGAAAATCATAGTTCTTGTCCCACTACCCGTCCCGTTTAAAGTTAATTTCAAACTAAATATTTTTATCAAACAAAAATAACATATTTATCATTATTTTTAAAGAGAAAGTGAGTTATTTTTAACAAATTGGAAAAAAATATTTATTAACTAAAGACATAAAAAATAAAAGTACAAAATAAAATAAATAAATAAATAACATAAAAATAAAAATAAACAAGTCCGTCCAGTCATACTGTAATTGTGTTTAGGGATGGGGAAGGTGACAAAAATAGTTTATGGGATGGGAGTGGGAATGGTCAACTCGTCTCATTTCACGTTTGTCATCTCTAATTCATTGTAATACTTATATCTAACTTTTTTTCATCCAAATATTATATTTAATGTTTCATTAATTAGTGCATGTCCTCCTTAATGGTAGTTTTTGTGCATACTTTGTTTGTGTGAGGAAAATATATTTGAAGCTTTTTATATTTATTTTCTTAAAAATGATGAAAAAATAAGGCATTTTACACTTTTCAAACGATTTTTTTGATGAAAATTGTTAAAGGAGACAAGATCAGATAATCAATGAAAAATTCAAGCTATTAAGTGCAATTAAAATATAACACAACAATGTTAATATAATTAATTTTTTAATTAAATGCTACCTAAATAACAGCTTTATCATGCATCCTTTGTAAATTAGAAAACAAAAATGAAAATAAAAATACTAAAACATAATACAAAATTTTACGTGATATCGAAGTAGTGTTTGTCAAATTTTTAAATCCATGGCCACCTAATTCTTTACTTAGTATTAAAATAGCCATCGAACTTGAATTTGTTTTACGATGGTCATCAAACTTTATAAGGTAAATAGTACTGGAATTTGGTAACCTTTGAACATTTTGATGATGGATCATAAGCCTTTAATTTCTAGAACTTAGAGTTTCAAAGCTTTTAAATGTCTAGTTCTGGGGTTCTTTTACGATAAAAAAATGTTAGTCTACATGAAATTATATATTTTTATTATTTATATTTATATTACGTTCTATGAAGTTTTCTCGGATAAAAGAAAAAAGAAATTTCAATCGCAATGGATACTAATTAAATCACGCATGCATTCCTAACAATTTTTTATGTTTCAAAATTACCAAAAATGGATAAGAAATTTATTTTTAACAACAAAACAAGAAATAATATCAAAAAATTATTCATTAGAAGATAGCAATTTGATTTATAGATATATATTTTTACAACATTGAAAGAGTGGAATAAAGTATTTTCTATATTTTTAATATTTTGCTAACATATAAAGCCCCGGTTGTGTATTGATTTTTCACTCTAAAAAATTAATTTTTTTACTGTTATTTTATTATTTCGGTCGTCATTTTTTACTTTTCACTTACAAGTGACTCTCACTTTTCTCTCGTCACTTTTCTCTCTACGGTCAAAAAATCAGTTTTCATAATTACTACAGAACATATCCAAAGATTAATTTTTATAGTATTGTATAATAATTTATTTATTTATTTTCCCCTTTGCACAACAAAAGCTCGAGCTCTACAACATTTTTCTTCCTCTTTTACACACGCGCGCACACACAAATCACGTGGAGGATGTGCGCGTAGGAGGAATTGTAGGGTTTACCGGTTGAATATTTCAAGCCGGTATCACGCTTTACGCGCTCTCTGGGTAACACGCTATTTAGCACACGTTTGTGCCAGCTGCAGCGTCACCTCTCAGTCTTCCACCACGGGCTTGGACTTTGTTTAGTGAGAAGCAAATTGCCACGTTTTCAATATTTTCATTATGAAGCTTTGAGAAATATATTTATTTATTATTACTAAATTTTTTGCAATTGAAACCGGAATCAACCCGAAGTCAAAATAATTTGTTTTGGCTATCGAACCAACTATGCCGGTCCAATTTTCAAAACATTGAAGGATAAAAGCAGATATATTGGCCTTTTGTTGTTGACGAAGTAGATTTTCTCCGTAGGATCGATAATTTACAATTGAACGTACTCAAGTGTCTGTTTGACACCCTTTAATTTGTTTTATGACTTACTACAAGATCATTTTCAATCACAACATTCACACATTAAATATTCTACACGAAATAATCATCATTTAACCAATACATCAAATTTCATTGCCTGAGAAAAGGATGCCATAGATTAACAACAGTTTATAACCCCCTAATTAAATATAATTAAAGATCACGAACATCCAAAGATCAACTTCTTATCACCAACCCAGCACAACGAGAAAAAATAAAAATAATAATAATAAATGAGTTACAAGCTCCATCTCTGACCAGTATGAGAAAGCACTTTCCTCCTGTCAATATTTTTGACATTGCCCAATTAGAAGCATTTTCTGTGCACAATTGATGGCCCGGACTCATCGTATTCAGCCTTTGCAATCCACATCTACAAAAGAGATAAGAAAACAACTCATTTAGAAACTGTATGTTAAGTATCGTATATGAATAGAAAATGCCTTGAGCCAATGTTCGAACCTGCTGGAAGGTGCTGAGGGATGCCAAGATGGAGCCTCCTATCCATACACTGTATTTCCTTTCAGGAGGTGCAACCACCTTAATCTTCATGCTACTTGGAGCTAGTGCTGTAATTTCCTTGCTCATTCTGTCAGCAATACCTGGAAACATGGTCGAACCGCCACTAAGTACAATATTACCGTATAGGTCCTTCCTAATATCCACATCACACTTCATGATGGAGTTGTATGTGGTTTCGTGAATGCCTGCTGCTTCCATTCCGATCATTGAAGGCTGGTAAAGAACCTCAGGACATCGAAAACGCTCAGCGCCAATGGTAATAACCTGCCCATCAGGCAACTCGTAGCTCTTCTCCACAGAAGAGCTAGTTTTTGAAGTCTCAAGCTCCTGCTCATAGTCAAGGGCAATGTAAGCTAACTTTTCTTTCATGTCTCTCACAATTTCCCGCTCTGCAGAGGTGGTGAAAGAGTAACCACGCTCTGTGAGGATTTTCATCAAGTGATCAGTAAGGTCACGACCAGCCAAGTCGAGACGAAGGATGGCATGAGGGAGGGCATACCCCTCGTAGATGGGAACAGTGTGGCTGACACCGTCACCAGAATCCAGCACAATACCTAAGCAGGAAACATGATAGCACATCATCACCCATAATTAGGCATAAAATTCAGCACCTCAAGCACATAAGAAGCAACAATTCAATTAACACAGGTTTCTGAGAAAATCAAATAACATTTATAAATAGGTTCTCAAATAAAACATTTTGATTTCTGAAAAGCGGGCTGGGAAATATGGGTCTGATCAAGTTGAAGACACATATACTCTTAAACTGAGACTCGCTTTCTGAAGAAAGTATCGGAAAGGCCATTACTGAAATACAAGACATCAAGGCACATAAACTGTTTTGGGATTAGTGATAATTTAATTGAAATCAGGGGCATATCTACTTGTGATGCCAATTCTTATGGAAAGCTTCAAAATCTGACAACAGAAATTCAAATGACTTCAATACCTTTATTTCTTGATAATTCAAGATTCTAGTAAAAGTGGTGCCTTAAGGGGCCACAAGCCTGTATTACCTGAATATTCAACAATTCAACACACACACACATATATATGGTCAGGCTCATTGACCCACTTAACTTTTCTTATCATACAGAAATCTTAATGTATTGAGCTCAGCTTCTGACCAATCTCTGATTTTCTTCTTTGTTCCATTTTATATCAAATGACTTCAATATCATTATCAGAAATTATAAACTGATTAAAATGCAACAGATGCTTACCGGTTGTACGACCACTAGCATACAGGGAAAGAACAGCTTGAATAGCAACATACATAGCGGGGGTGTTGAATGTCTCAAACATAATTTGAGTCATCTTCTCACGGTTAGCCTTGGGGTTGAGAGGCGCTTCAGTCAGAAGAACCGGGTGCTCTTCTGGGGCAACACGGAGCTCATTGTAGAAAGTGTGATGCCATATCTTCTCCATGTCATCCCAATTGCTCACAATTCCATGCTCAATTGGATATTTTAGGGTTAAAATACCACGTTTTGACTGAGCTTCATCTCCAACATATGCATCTTTTTGTCCCATGCCTACCATCACACCAGTGTGACGGGGGCGACCAACAATGCTAGGGAACACAGCTCTTGGAGCATCATCACCAGCAAATCCGGCCTACAAGGAACACAAAAGTTTCTATCAAACTCAACAAAGAGAAACAGGGTAATTTTGGCAGCAAAAAAGGAACAGCTATATTTGCAACACTGAGGATAAAGAAACTTCAGATTATACCTTAACCATTCCTGTGCCATTGTCGCACACAAGTGGCTGAATATCCTCTGCATCTGCCATCTTATACTACTTCCTAAATGAAAAACCACAGCTTTAATAAGTGAAGAATTGACTATCCTTTCACTGATTTTTTGATAATTTAATTTCATAATAAAAGTGTATCTTGGATTCTTGGGGATTTAACTTCCAAATGTAGATTATAGTCACGTGTGATGTACAAAATAGCAGTCCAGAACAAAATTGATTAAAAGGAGCACCATCTTATCTAAATGATACAAATATAAGCAGATGTCAACTATCAGATATGCCTCATTTCTCTCCTCAAATTTTGCAACAAAATGCAATGTTGACATATGAAACTTTTTGTGTCCACCGCAACAAACTTGGGGAAAATAATCAGAAATGGTTAAATCGATGCACATAAAAACCTGATTGACACAAAAACAATCAAGAACGATGTATATTTGCAGAACCTCCTTTGTGAATGAATCTTACCAAGCAAAAATTAACCATGCACAATTAAGACCTAAGTTGCACAAACACGCCAACATGTGATTTTTCTAAAAGTAGGACATGGAACACCAAGGACACATCAATTTAAATTCATAAATTATATCTTTGTTTTTAACTTCTAACATAAAACAAGCCAACACGGCACATGGCACATTGAACACTTTCTTGAGAGGTGTCTCTAGAGCATCTCTGGATGTCTTTAACAAAGTAAAGTGTATAAAAATTGGGACAAGGACACGTGATTTGTTGGATACATGAAGTGTCAGAGGATTAGAAGGAGTCTCCATGCATCATAGTTGAGGACCCTTGGAAATAAATCCATTGCTACATGGATCGATTGATCCCTTTAACCATGAGAAGATAAGGAGAAAAGTATTATCTAAATACTAATATATGTGCCAGTCTTCTTCCCTTTCGTTGATACAGATAGAATTATAATTGTAAGATTTGGAAAAATTAGACCACCAAAATCAAATTCTCAATAACACACAGCGAAGAATCAAGGAATAGGAAAGATCTATAATAGCCATTAAAAATCCAACATAAATCAACCATCACTGATTAAGATATAGTGATTGAGATAACCAATGCTAGAATAAATTCTTAATCGACAATTACAGATATAGTGAACACCATGATTAACTTCACTTGGAGTACACAAGAAATGTAATTTGTCATCACAACCATTATATCTTAAACAAGGATCCTGATTTATGTTGGATTTTCAATGTTGGAGTATACAAGAAATGTGATACGGTCTGTAGCATTACCTCCTCGAATAATTTGAAGTAGAGAAAAGAATTTCAAAACCATACCAAAAATATACTAATTCAATGTACTTTTACATAATTAAGGTTAACAATCAAGGAAAATGCCGCTCAAAACACATGCCAAATGACGTGCTGATCCCACGACATCGTAAACTCATAAATCGAACAAAAACCCAAAAATCATAGCGGAAAATACAAAATTATAAACAACACGAACATGGGTTATCCAGCTGAAGTCAATTTATGTGCAGATCAACAGTGGCATTGAACAAAAAACACATAAGAAACCAAAAGAAACAGGAAACAATGGGGAATGAGTGAGCAAATACCTGAATTAGTAAATGAATGAAGAGATGTGTGAAAGAAAATATAAATGAAAAGGAAAAGGTAGATTTAAAGGGAGAAAAGAATGGAAGAGAGAATCTGTTGGCGAAGGATGAGGAGAGGACGAAGGAGAGATCAGTGACGCGGGTAGTGAAATTGAATGGGTTTCAAAATCGCCCAAATTGAGAGGGTTATATGAAGAGGAGAGTGGACAGATCTCAACTGTTGGATTCTCCTCCAATTCCTACGCTCTGGATGCGCGGAGCCAGAATCATCACTAACCGGAAACAAATTTGAGAAAATATTGAATTATAATTTTCGAATATTAGGCCTATATATATATAACCGAAAACAGTGATTTGATATCATTTCAACCACACATTTTTCAAAAAAATAATATTACACGCAAATTCAAAATTTTTCTTTATTTTTTAACCATGCATTTTTTCATCAATACCTATTTAAAAATACATTCTTGTGAAAATAATATGGCTCAAATAAAGGCTAGAAAAGATTCTTGATGCCTTTCGAAGCACTTTTAAATTTGCTAAATCGTTGGAACAATAAGCTCATAAACGAGTTAAAAATGGTTGTATGGAATGAGTATAATAAATTTAACTTGTGATCGTCATCTCTTTTGAATTATTTTTTAGGTATATTTTTCGACTATCGACATAAGTTCTAGAACTGAATTTGTGAATTTAGAAACTGATATTTTTCGAGGTATATATATCACAAACTTTCAAGTTGATGCATTTATTTGTATAAATATTTATTTTTATTTTGAACTGAATTTGTGAATTGAGAATATGATATTCTTAGCTGGACTTTTGTATTGTAGTTTTTATGTTGAAAAAATTCCTCGCTGAAAAAAATAATAATAAATAAATAAATAAATAAATAATAATAATAATAATAATTAAAAAAATTGAAAGCCCTCTGTTGATTAATCCTAGATCTGCCCATGTCTATACTTTAAATTGTTTTAAAACAGTCATTTTACTTTCAAAGTAAAATTTAAAATATTTTGGATAGTTACTATAATATCAAGGTTATTTTCTAGAATTCGTACTTCCAAAGTTGTTGATCCTATAGTCACGGAAATTCTATTTTGGATTACTAATTTCAAAGTAGTTTTTCAATGATCATTGTATTTTTAACATTGTTACTCTTCCTTCACTTTGCATTGTTTAAATAATTAAAACTATTTGCCACATCGTTGAAATAGTTAATTTTCAAACAAAATAGACAGTGACAGATGAGAAACAATGTTGAAATTACATTGACTATTCCGAATCCTAAAGTTCAATGTTTATTTGTAAACAACATTATAAGTAGAGGGTAAAATTGTTCGAACATAACCGACGTGACCCTATTCGTCTAGCACAGTTCAAAAGTAAATTAGTCATTGAAATTTTCAACCCTAAAAATTAACTTTTGGGTGGCTTATTTAATGATATTACTTTTTAATTACTTTCGTAAAATGAGTAAATTTTAAATTCCTTTGTTACTATTCAAATTTTCTTACACATTCAGAAAAGGGAAAATTGCAGTCGAAGTACCAAACCTTTCGTTTATTAGCAGACTTTGTCCAAACCTTTGATTTGTGCCACCGTGAGTACCAAACCTTTAAAAAATATGCAGCTCAAATCCAAAATGACGATTTCCGTTTGTTTGACCTCAAAATTCGTCTGTTGACCCCAAAATCTTTCAGTTGACCTCAGAAATTAAAAATTTAATAATTTGACCATATTATGTTATTTTTGTCTAAAACTGCATGTATTTTGATTTTGCTATACTATGTATTTGATATGTTAAGAGTTAATGAGATTAAGCATATGTTTGGTGACTGTTTATAAATTAATAGAAATAAGTGATAAATAAGTAGGTACTACACCGTGAAGAGGGTGTGGCTCAATTTGTGGGGGGCGTGACCTTTTTTCTACTTGTTAATTTTCACGTTATAATATTTCGTGTTGGGAGAAATTTTCATAGTTAAATTAGAACCCTCACTAGATCCGAGTTCTGGCTCCATCACTGATAGTACTAGTAGATAAAAAGTGATTTGGCTCTTAGCAAGTGATTATAAACAAATGCATTTGCCAAACATACTCTGAGCAAGAGACATGCAATGTATTTAGTTGTTATTGTGTCTATTTAGTACATAGGACTCAATAAAGTTAAACAAGATAACGAACAATAATGTCACATCTTCCTTTCCTAATCGTATTCGTATCAACTTGCGTTCAATCCAACATATCATGCACACCCCTCATAGGATGTTTGATAAAGTAAATTGTAAAGTAATAGAGACTACTAAGGAATAAATTATTGACATCTTATCGTTCGGTCTCATTTAACGTTGTGTAATAAACGTGCTTCTGCTCTTCTACTTCAAAAAAAGTAATGTTATTTAGCTCCAATGGAATTACAACTCTAGTTTAGGTAGCGCAAATATGGCATTAAATGATATTTGAAATTAAATAAGTCATTTAATTTTACATTTTATTTAACTTATCATCTAATTCCACCTAAATTGGGATTGTAACCCCAATGGGTCTACATAACATTATTCCTTCAAAAATGCTTTGGAAACTATGATTTGTGACATTAATGAAAAGAGCAATGCTATTCATAAAGAGGAATATCGATAGTCATGATTATGTGTCATATATTTAATCACCTAATCATTCATAGCGAATAATATTAATTAAAAAAATTAAAGAATTAAATATATACCACATAAGATGATAATGAAACCTCAATTTTATCCTTGCAAAAGTACATATATGTAAAACTTTGTGAACCCTTTAAGGAAAAGAGTAGTCAGAATGACAGAATCCAACTGTTATGTAATTCCCCATGTGTAGGTGGGCACCAAGAAAAGATTGCTTCACAAGTTGTGCATCAGGTTTCATGATTAAAAATTGTATTTCTTTCACTTGAAAGACATGTTCGATAAAATGAGATGTACAAAACTAGATAGAATTGAGAAAGTATAAATTAAAAACTTATTTTTCCATTATAGAATTTTGGAGTTTTAACTTAGAAATTCAACTTTACTAAAAAAAAAAAAAAAGTAATTTAAATCCTTACATATTAATTATTATTCTCATAAATACGGAATTAATGTATAGAGTTTTATGTGGTATGAGTCGTGCTTTGTGCTTTACAACCTGTTGCATGCTGTGACCTTTCTATCCAAATCTCATCTGGAAAGAGTGACAGTGTAACCCCACAAAAGCTTTTGAAGCATGGAATTTTAGAGGATGAAATCATGTGCTATGTACTAAAAATTAAAGCTTTTTGTCATAATAAACATACAAAGTTGGGTTGTACAATCAACCAAGCATATATGCTTCCTGCTTTTCTACATATATAGCATAGTCGTCATCCTCTATTTTTTTTCCCTTTTTTTATTATTTTTATTTTTCTTGCAGTACAATGCTTTTCTCACTAATAATTTTAATTCATCACCTACTATTAATTGCATTGCCATCAAGCTTCTTTTTCACTTTTTCGCAATTTGTTTAGCTTTACATCCGTCCCAAGGTATCATTTCTAATACGTCGGTGGGACACGCTCGGACACATTGAATACATCCTATACATGTATCATAAATCTTTATTGAATGTGACATTGGATCTATACATTTTTTTCCGTCATAAATTTTCGATCTAGTAAACTTATAAATGAATCATATATTTAGATACCAGACGAATCAATGAGTGATCAGAATTAATCTACTTGTGGATTGGTTTATGAGAGAGGGCTAAAATACTTCGATTTCTTATGTTTTTGCAACCACGATCCTACCTGACACGTAACAAACCTGCTAATTAGAATTAATTTCAGAATAATTTCTGAATATTCGAATTTCTATTTATATAATTAATACTATTTATTCAACAAATTGGATTGGTTAATACGAGTTGATTTTCTAATCGACCCATTAAACTAAGTCATCAATGATCAAAAGGTTGAATCGATAATAAATCGAAAAAACAATGACATTTAGGAAGGGAATTCGTCGATTTTTGGATGAATTGGCGAGTTCGGTGATTGCAAGTAAGGAAAAGATTTAGGTAACTTCAATCTTAATTGACCTATTGGACTCTAAAGGAAAGATATTATTTGTAAAGTAGAAACTCGTCAATTTCCAAGGGAAACTCGATCTTACTTTAACACAAGGGCTGGCGAATATCATTGACAGTTGCATCTCTGTTTGTGCATATTAGAGGAAGTGCTCTGCTAGGGAAATCAACTGCACGCTTGGATTTGGGATGAAATCATGTGCCATATCCTTCCAATCTTTCAAGTGTAAAGACCTTTGTTTATGGCGTACTTGATTTGAATTGTTCCAAAAATGGAAATATCTCTACCCGAGTTTGGACCTAATACATAATAACAACGTGCCTATCTTCCTCAATCACGACAAGTTTAACATACTAAACACATCATTTATGCATTGAACAAGTCTCAAACACACTTCCTGTTTATAGGAAACTAGAGTAATGCTAATCTGATCATCAACTATTCAGAATTCCCATTCCACAGACACAGATTTAGAATCTCATGCACAATTCAGTATGTAAAGATGATTTATGACAAACTAGTTCTGAATGCACAAGCAATCGATCAAGTATTATCGAGTAACTGAACACTTAATAATCAAGATCACAACAGCAGGAATTTCTTTGCATCGACCCAAATTTCAAGAAATTGAAATCCTATTGCTCAACATATTAAATAAGTCCTAAAAAGATATCACCAAAGGAGTGGCACAATGCCAGGGTTTGCCATTGTCCAACCTTTCATGGAAAGCAAACTAACAGATAATCTGATCCATTATTAAAGCTCTTGTGATAATTGACCTCTTTCGAACTTCGACGATGCTGCTTAATTCGTACTCCACAAGAAATCAAGTGCATGATTGCCCGTAAATCTACAGGAATGGGGGCAGTATTACCCATCGTCGGGGATATTTTGGTCTTCCCTCCTTTCCATCAAATAGCTGCAAAAGGAGGACATACAGGTAAGAACAAAAATTATGTTATAAGATGTTAACAATAAGCTATGGTCTATATACTTTAAATGTTTACTGCGTAAAGAAATGGTTTTTGATCATTCTTAATAAAGTGGAAAACTCGAAAAAAAAATTCGTATCAAGTTGTCTGGTCTAGGCCTTTTGGAGATCAGCTTGCACTTAGGCAAACGATTTGCTAAGAAGACTCTTAAATCACACGGTTCTATTTGAGTTTCAATGAATAAGAAAACTGAGTTATCAAATCAAGTATTAAAAGATAAGACGTGTGTCAAAACGAATCTTGAACAATGAGAATAAATATCTCTGCAAAGTGCAGTCACATGAACCCCCAGGGAAGCCACTCGAGTGACCATTATACTAACCTCTACCCATCAAATAAGTTTTGAATGAAGTAGCAAAGAACGCTGACTTACAGAAAACCTAGGCTCATATTGACAAAGAAGAATATCATCCCAAGTGGGTCCACAAAGTCTAAGCAAACAAGGGATAAGTCATCTGTTTCTTCCTTTTTTATCAAAAGCAACAAGAAAAAAATAATTTACCTTCTTTAGTCGACGGTGCTTCGCGAGAGCCCAGTTTGTCATTATGGAGGCAGCAACAACCATAAATATATAGCCCGCTACAGTCTGTGTAGCAATGTTGAAGCCTAGCCACTGATAAATCTCGGTTGTGTAATTTGCACACGTGATAATGTTGAATAAAAAGCCATGTGGAATTTGGTACCCTCCACCACTATCAGCACCCCGGAGATTTCTCAACAAGATATGGCAATAGAAATTTGCAATTTGACAAAGCAACCCAAACACAAACCCAATCTTCATTTGGAGATCACTGACTGGTGTGTAAAGTGGGTGGTTGACATAATAAGCAATGTAAGCACCAAAGCTCCAGTAATAAGCACAGTTCCGAAAGACATTGGAAAGGGGTGACGTAGCATGGCTGAAACGGTGCACAAAAAAGGTTTCCATTATACGTTTAAAGTAGTGGAAACACCAGTAATACAAGGCATACATCTGGACAGGATGGATGACACGCTCCTTTTTGTAGCCGAAAAACTGGTACACAGGGTAGTAATAGAACATAGGATAGAGGATCAAAGGGCCCAAGTATTCCCAGAAGAAAAGGGTGCTGTACTTGACTTGGGGACCTAGATCCTTGAAAACCACAGTCAGTGTGTCTCCATTCCCATCTGTGTATTCTTTGAGACTCTTCTTGTAGTGAAGGACAGTGGGCTTCTCTTTTGAACCCGGCGGAATAGGCAGGGTCAATCGCTGTCTAGAGGGATAGTACTTCTTGGCTGTAGCCAGAATACATTAAATTATATTAAAAAGGGCATATGCAATAAAGCATAACTCGAATAGAAAGAAATGAAGAAAAAAAATACTGTAAAGCAAGAGAAGAGACAATCGCAGAAGGGCTTTCAATAACCTTAAGCTTTTGTTCAGTTGACCTAACAAACGATGCATTATTTGATTGTTTCTGCACCTCCAAGTCAATTATCTTGTTATAACTAAAACAAGCATACAAATAAGTTTAGCCCTTGTTTAGGCTCCATTAAAATCAAATTTTGGGGAAAAATGTATTTTGGAATAGTGATTTTTTGAAGAATGTGTGGTTAATAAGGAAAGAAAAGTTTTGAATTTACGTGTAATATTATTTTATTAGAGAACATGTGGTTGAAAAGAAGAGAGAGAAAAATGTTTTTTGAATAAAATGGAGCAAAAACAAGGGCTTAATATTCTAGAAGTCCTAATATACACTCATTAGCTACATGTGTGTACATATTCGGGAGCGTGTGTTTCCATTTCAACTAACAGAAAATACAATACGTGAAAGATTTGAGAATTACTAGCAAAGAACTACAGATTAGCAAAAATCAAAGTCAAAGTTGAATGACTTAAAAGATACATCTGAGCTTAATACAGAACTATCCACTGTTGTTCGTTACAATTCTAAAGACGTGTCCGTACTAATGTAGCATTCCAAATAAAACAGAACAATCTTCTGCATTCATAAGGCATGCACCTGAAGATTATGCTTCTCAACATATCCTCAGTGCATATTCTTAATTCACCAGAAAACAAAGAAAAGTGCTCCCCCATCTACCACACCCCCTCTTAGTACAAAGTTGATAAAAAGTTGCACCTCAGCTCAACAATTTCAAATACAAATATAAAATCTACCCTCCACCTGCTATCATATAGTTTACAATGGCTTTATTTATGCATGCGTGACTTATTCTCAATTTTCTATTGCTAACTTTGAATGTGTAAATTTCGTTCGCATCATGCGTGACTTATTCCCTATGCATGCAAAATTTGTTAAACAACCTGAGATGAAGATCGGTGCTTAAGAAAGAACCAGAGGAACTAAAATATCTGCTAAGAAAGTCCAATTGATGGAAGAAATTTTTTCTTATCATTTCTACATGACTGTATCAGTCTGGTGGATAGTGGATATCCTCTGTCCTATCCCCTCTACAACAACTCAACGAGAGAACTTGCTTTTGTGTTTAAAGACTTACTGGAAAAATTTCAAAGAACGTATGTGCTTTGGAGACAAGTTATTTTAACAAAAAGTATTACTTTATATCTATGGATCAAAAATAAGCACTGAAAAGATCATAAGCATCTGAGTGGTCCTTAGCATCAACTTTTCATCTGTTCTATTATTTAAAAAACTCTGAACTAATTTTGTGAGAACTTCCAATCCCTTTATATCTCTTTTGTCATTAGTTTAAAAATGTAGGCACTATTTTGGAAGATATTATTGACATTCAGGGGTTCAAGATGGCCTTGGAGCTTACTTTTCTTTTTTCCCCCCAGTTGCCCCATACCTTATACCATATTTATTCTTCTGATTTTTCAGGTTTTACTCCATATAATGGGCACGGAATTTTACATTGAGAATCCTGATCCTCTCTGTGTATTCCTCCTCTTAAGAGCACAAAGTATTCGCTTCAATACAACAAAGAACATACATCAGAGCCAATGATTAAACCAACAGAAGTAAAAAGAAAGTGACTCTAGTTCACTTACGATTGCCTAGCAGTTTAAAATTATTATTCATGCCTTAATTGGATAAAATATAGCACGCCAAAAACATGCACAGTGAATGACTGAATGCACATTCCAAATAAACATTCCTAGCAAATGCCTTCAACAAATTATAACAATTAAATCCAAGTGATATCAGGCTGTGAAATATATGCAAGCAAGCCAACAGCTTTAACCTTGAGACTAAAACTCGTTTAAGTTATTTTATCGGTAGAAAAAGTCAAAGAATTCCTGTCCCTTGTGCTTCAAAGAAAAAAGAAACATTAACAAATGCATTGAAGCTAATAACTATAAGATTGGTGTAATGAACTAGAACTGAATAAACTAATAATCTAAATTTTCTGCAGAAGTTACATCATGAATGAGCAAGAGGAACTTATTTTCTCATAAGCAATTAGTTTTGAGAAAGAAATAGTGATAGGTGACAAATACAATGTAGATACAGTGCGGTATATATAATGTACTGATGTGGCAAACATTGAATCACAGTTTTAAATTTTATGGGGCAATCATCATGTCAATTTGTAACAAAAAATTACACATTTCGCGTTTTCCATTTATCCACATTTCGCGTTTTCCATTTCTCTAATCATTACTACTATAAAGTGACACATATTTTCCCAACAACTAGTCAACTACCTCGAGTAACTCTTACAAAAATGAAAGAAAATTCAGCATACAATGCGAAGAAATTCAAGAAAAAAAAATCTTAAAATAGAACTATAACAGAAACTTGGTAATGACATACTTCGCTTGTATATTGCTTCCTGCAGATCAGCCACAGTAGCCTAAAAAACAAGACCACAGCACAATTAGAACCATACCAATGTTCTTCTTTAAGACATTAACACGAACACCAAACACAACCCAAATCAAGATTTGAACTCTAAACGAAAAACAAACAAGGAACCAATCGAGGAAAAAACCTGAAACTTACAGAATCACTGAGCTCAAGGCCACCCTTTATGAGTTCTCTGCCGCTACGAGTCGTGACTACCACCTTCATCTCTGTTCCAAGATTAAAGAGTAACCCAGTTATTTTTCTGCTCAAGATTATAGATATGGGCTCGGATTTAGCCAGGAGGGGAAATTTATTTGAAGGTGAAGAAGTCCAACGATGGGGGAACGGGTGACTAATGGCGTGTAGCCGGGGTAGATGGCCCAACCATTTGCACCGATAAACCACTTTACACTCTACTACGTTGACAAATTAAATTCACATTCGTATCAATACTTCAATTTAATCGCAATTATAAAATTAGTATTTTTTTTTTCTTCAAACGTCATAATTGACTGGTAGAGATTTTAATCACATATTTTATAAAATTTACAACTTTTAAATCACATATTTAATCAATTTATATCAAAATCTACTTAAAATTTGATTTTAATCTTGATGAAATAGAGACTTCATAAGTTATTCAAAACTATGTTATATTGGGTGCGTTTGATTGCATGCACGGAATTTGGAAGAAAATAAAATATATTACGAGCAATTCAATTGTTTAGAACTTATTTGTATGATTTAGTTTTCAACCTAAAAAATAATATATTTGTCCATTTTTCATTATTGAGGATGAGAGAGAAGGGATAGATGAGAAGAGAAAGAAAGTAAATTTCCTGAAAAATAAAATCATATTTCTCTAAACAAAATATTTTCTTTGATTTTGAGGAAACATGTTCACATGATCAAAAGTAGGATAATGTTTTCCATATGAAAAATGTCAATGAAACAGCATAAAAGTAGAAAATTAGGTGAAAAACACACTTATCATAAAAAATACTGACAATCAAACGCATCATTCATTTCAAAAACTATGTTATATTTAAAACTAACAAAGCAATTAAAAAATCATTTCTAATATATAAGTGAATTTTCTAATTTTAAATAATTCTTATGTTAATTAATTAAGTTTTCATTCTTAAAGTATCGTAATGATTTTGAAATTAAATTCTAATAATTTTAATTATTCCAATTCAATAATTAAAAAAAGTTAATCTGAGTATTAATTTTTGTGAAAATTTATTTTATAAGTTTTAAATAAATTTAAGATGTTTTATACGATGTAATGTTTTGAATTATTTATGACATTTTAAGTAATTAGAAAATTTATCTTGAATTTTGATACTATTAACAAAGGGTTATAATTTTCTTGGATAATTGTAGCTGCGTCCCCAAACATTTCAAAACGTAGTAAATTTTCTCCTAACCTTTTTATTTTTTGCACCTTTCACCCCAAATCTTTAAAATGCGTAAGTCTGAAGCTCAAATGGAGCGCACCCATCTTTACAAACATATTGAACTCGATTTTTATTATTTCACTTGAATATGGTTTCAACTTGATTGAAGACTACATAATCTCTCATAACAGAATAACCCTATCGCGAGACGTAGATTCCTCTTTTCATTTTCAACACAATATTCATGAAATTTCGATTTATCATTGTTCTCGTCCGAGTCCGAACCACTGAGAAAGTTTAGCTCCTCCGAAAATGCATATGAAGAACTATTTGATTATGGGGCTTCTTCATCCTTTATTACATTATTCATATCCATTTTGATGCCTTCAGTTGTGTTACGTTCCAATAGGATATTATCATCATTATAAACATCATAGTTTGCGCCAGTGAAATCTAGATCATCATCTATCTGAACATATAAAATTGTAACAACAAATACATAAAACGACTCCAAGCTCAAAAACATTGTTGGAGATTGAAGAGAACACTTAAAAACACTTACTTAGCTCATACATGTTCGCCTACTCAACTAGTAGAATTTGTGTTTTTAGCATCTAAATATAATATACTAAATATAAAATAGAGGACTTTCTATCTAGTCGACAGTAAAATATTTATAACCAAAAGCATCCATTATCCAAATCCATGACAACATAGCAGCAGTAATTAAATGACGGTTGCATCATATTGCTAGGGACATAACAACATTTCTATAGATCTTCATGGAATTTTTGAAAATGACCATACCCCTAAGAATTGATATAATTTGATTGTTTTTAATTTTTATGGGACCAACTTGTTATTATTTTTATTTTATTCTGCCCTCGTTTGATCCACATTTTTTTTAAATACATTTTCTCTCTTTTCTTTTTAACACATTTTTTAATAAAATAATATTACCAAAAAAAAAATGGAGCTCAAACAGTCGCTACATTATTTATTATTTACTGCTAGAGTGTTTGTTGCTTGATCATGGGAAAAGATTTTTTTTTTTTTTTTGTGTAGAATTTATTGTATTATTAATGTGCTTTTTAGTTCTAGGATTGGGTAAAAGGCGGGATGAATGAATTATTTCTACAATATTTGAGTTGCTTGGAAGTTTATATAAATGTGATTAATGCAAAATCATGGAGGATGCAAAATCATTTGAAACTCCAAATGGGTAACCTCAATTTTTGATACAAATAAATGGAGGATGCAAAATCATTAAAACTCCAAATGGATAACACCACAATTAACTTTAAGTTGGATAAATTGATGCATAATTTATATTCTAAAACTAATATTTTACGTGCAAAATATAAAAAATTTTTTTTTTTTTTTGTGTAGAATTTATTGTATTATTAATGTGCTTTTTAGTTCTAGGATTGGGTAAAAGGCGGGATGAATGAATTATTTCTACAATATTTGAGTTGCTTGGAAGTTTATATAAATGTGATTAATGCAAAATCATGGAGGATGCAAAATCATTTGAAACTCCAAATGGGTAACCTCAATTTTTGATACAAATAAATGGAGGATGCAAAATCATTAAAACTCCAAATGGATAACACCACAATTAACTTTAAGTTGGATAAATTGATGCATAATTTATATTCTAAAACTAATATTTTACGTGCAAAATATCGTAAAGAGTCTCAACTTGTCCAAACCAAGATATTTGCATTAGAATACGATCAAATCGTAAATTTTTGAAACATAGGGAGAAAAAAAAGAGATGAAATGAAACAAGGTATGCAAATGCAAATCTCCTTAAGATAGATTTCGCCATTTACACTAGTGCTAACAATATCAAATGGACGTCTATCTCTCAAAATACAATATTTTTTCCAAAATTAATATAATACAATATTAATTTTGTCGGGTGAACCAAAGTATTGAAAATATTATTCACAAATGGAATAGACAAGAATTAAAATTGCCTGGAATAAATTTTGATTTGAAACTAATTAGAACGGAATTTAATTTCAGCAAAAAAATACAATAGAATATTTTGAAGAGACGAAAGAATTTAGATTTTTTTTTATTTGATTTGGTGTAGGAAATGTGGAATTAGGTTCCCTATTTATAGATTTTCAAGTGATATTTTGGAATGGTTGCATGTTTTGACATAAACTATTGTAGACCATCAGATCACATAGTTTCACATTTATTGCAAAGATACAGTAATTTATTTCCCACGCTATTCAATTGATACAAATTGAACTTCGTAATAAACTCATTATTTCATGTTTCATTCTAGAAATCATATGTAAACAAGACACCAAAATACACCATGCACTTGTAATTTTAACGCAATCAGATATTTTTATCACACTGTACATTTATAATACGTGAATATGATTAATGTAATATCATCCGTCCATCCAAATTAGTAACTTTTACTTCTGCAAATTCTATATGCAAAATCAATTTTTACATAAAATTTAACAGAATATAATCATGAAAAAAATTCCCTTGCCAATTTCTAATATGAAATTAGAAGAAATGTGAAAAGGAAGAGAATGAATACAAATAATTAAATAAATATGAAATATGTTTTAAGATTGTTGGAGAAATTGGTGCATAATTTATATTCGACAACCAACCTTTACGTGCAAAATATCATATAGAATTTTGACATCTCGAAATCAAGATACGTGCATGAAAGTACAATGAAATTGTGAGGTCTGTGACTTACTGAAACATAGAAAATTGAAGGAGATGAAATGAAATAAGATATGCGAATGCAAATTTCCTTCAGAAAGATTTCACTCCTGCACTGATGCTAACATGATCAAATATACATCTATCTCACAAGATACAATACTTCTTCCAAAATTAATATATCACAATATTAATTTCTTAGGTGAACCAAAGTTTTAATAGCATTCTCACAAATTGAATAAATATGAACTAAAATTGTTTGGATGAAATTTATTTATGAAAATAATTCTAACGAAATTTAATTTCAACAAAATAAAAATAACAGAATATTTTGAAGAGATAAGAAAATTTAGAAATCAATTTTTCTTGATTTGATTTGGTGTAAGAAATTTGAAATTAGATGTCACTTTTTATAAATTTTCAAATGTCTTTTCAAATTGTTGTATCTTTTGACATAAATTAGCGTGGAACATTAGATTATACCTTTTCATAGTTAATTGTCTAGATTGCACTATATCAAAAATAAATTTTCATAATGTAACTTTCTGAATATTCACAATCACTGCAAAATAACCTGACTCTTTGACATGCACCATTTTGCATTTGAAGTGTCACGACTAATCATTGCACTAGTTCGAGACTTTTCCAATTTACAAATATAAAATTATCCTTTGAATTCCAACAAAAGATTATATAAATACCAGGTCCAAGTTAAACTACAAAGTAGAGCATATTACTTGGTAATTATCGCTCAACGTTAGATGTGATGGCATAATCGACACTTGTGGGGACAACCTTCCTTGTTGTAAAAAATGATGAAATTTTATAGGTTGGAACGGGGTGGAGACGAAAGCGATTTGGGGTTCTAGAAGGGATGATCGATTTGTAGAGGAGCACTTGAAGAAGGAAGAACTCATCTGAAATTTTGGGAAAGATTGAATTTTAGGTTTGTCTTGAAAGTTTTGGGGAAATTTTGATATTAGTTGGGAACTGATATGGGAGAGTGATCTGGGTTTCATACAAACACACACACACATGTATATACAAGTGTAAAATACATGTTTCATTAACACACTTTTGTCCATGCCATTAGCAACTTCATGATTTGACATCCATTAATGGCAATAATGTGCCGCAAACGATTTCATTTGCCACGTTTGGCGTTCCTTCACTTTTAAAAAGTATTGTTGCGAGATTGATGGATGGGATGACATGTCAAAGACTTCATTGACTGATGGAAAAAAATTTTAAAAGTTAAATAATCCACTGAAAACTTTATGTAAATCCCAATGATCATTCAAAATTTTAACCCTGTT